TTGAGCGTTACAAAGCGCGACTTGTTGCTCGCGGTTTTCGGCAGCGTCATGGTCTTGACTATGAGGACACCTTCAGTCCTGTCGTCAAGCCTACCACTATTCGGCTTCTTCTCTCCATTGCTGTTTCTCGTGGTTGGTCACTTCGTCAACTTAATGTGCAGAATGCTTTTCTACATGGATTTTTGGAGGAAGAGGTTTATATGAAACAGCCGCCTGGTTTCTCTGATCCTGATCGTCCTGGCTATATCTGTCGTCTTTCCAAAGCACTATATGGTTTGAAGCAAGCTCCTCGTGCCTGGCATGCCCGCCTTGCCTCTGCCCTTCGTGCTCATGGGTTTGTGCCGTCTACTGCTGACACTTCGTTATTTCTTCTACAGAAGCCAGAAGTCACTATGTATCTTTTGGTATATGTCGATGATATTATCCTTGTCAGCTCTTCTCAGTATGCTGCTGATGCTCTTGTCTGCTCTCTTGGTGCTGATTTTGCGGTCAAAGATCTTGGGAAGCTTCACTACTTTCTTGGAGTTGAGGTCACTTCTCGTGCTACTGGTCTTGTCCTTACGCAGAAGAAGTACTCCTTGGAGTTGTTACAGAGAGCTGGCATGCTGAAGTGCAAACCGACCACCACACCCATGTCGTCTACCGACAAGATAACAGCTGTTGATGGTGAGCTTTTGTCTCCTGCGGATGCCACAGAGTACAGGAGCATTGTTGGTGGACTTCAGTACTTGACGATCACGAGACCAGATATCTCTTATGTTGTTAACAGGGTTTGTCAGTATCTTCAGGCTCCCAGAGATACTCATTGGGCTGCTGTTAAACGCATTCTTCGTTATGTTCAGTTCACCCTGACATTTGGTATGCATATTCGGCCGACTTCCTCTCGGGTCCTTTCGGCCTTCTCTGATGCAGATTGGGCTGGTAGCCCAGATGACAGGCGATCCACGGGGGGTTATGCAGTATTCTTTGGCTCTAATTTGATCGCCTGGAGTGCTCGGAAACAGGCTACTGTGTCACGTAGCAGTACTGAAGCTGAGTACAAGGCTGTGGCTAATGCTACTGCAGAGATTATTTGGGTGCAGTCTTTGCTTCAGGAGTTGGGTTTGTCTGAACCACAGCCTCCTATTCTTTGGTGTGATAACATCGGTGCTACATACCTTTCTGCAAATCCAGTATTTTATGCCCGAATGAAACACATTGAAGTTGACTATCACTTTGTACGGGAACGTGTATCACAGAAGCAACTCCAGATCAAGTTTATCTCATCTAAGGATCAACTTGTAGACATCTTCACTAAGCCTTTACCGCTGCCACAGTTTGAGGCTTGTAGGCGCAATCTTACCCTTCTCAGTTCTTTAGAAAGTGGCTAAGATTGAGGGAGGGTGTTAGACTATGTATAGCTTCTGTACCTATGTACGTATATGGTACATATTGTAACACAGCCATTATATATAATGAGATAAGCCACCCCTAGAGGGTTGTGCTGATTCCCCAAAACTTATTGTCTTACATGGAGCCACTAATTTGTATTCTAAAACTCTCCTTCTTTATTAATGAATGAGGCAAGTCTTTTGCCTCTGTTTCAAAAAAAAAAGACCATGCATGCCTGATGCCCTCAAGAATCCTCTTCCCATGTTCAACCTAATTCAAACCGAACTCCATGGCGCCACATTTGCGTCGCATTGCTCCGGCCAACTGATCCGTCCATCGCATTCTTTCTCCCTACAGATCGATGGATCGTGAAAACGCACTCGTATAAATCTGTACCCATGGCATGCATGTTCTTCTAACACCAGCCCGGCCGGAGGACATTGTCAACTTTCTCCCTACATACGAAGCAAAGTGAGTGAATCAACATTCTAAAATGCATCTACATACATCCGTATGTGGTTCATAATAGAATCTCTTCAAAGACTTATATTTAGAAATGGAGGGAGTATATTGCAAACGTGCTGAAGAAAATATAAAATTTGGAAATGTTACCCATCTTGAGTGTTGAATGTGAAAAAAAAATACAAGCCTAACAGTCGAACTAGCGGTTGCCTCGGTTCAAAACCTGACCCGAGAAAGAAAAATAACGGAGAAGAAAGCAAAGCTAAGAAAATAAAACAAAAATGTCAAGAAAGACAGAGGAAAAATATAATATAATATAGCAAAGAAAAGAGAAGAAATTGCTTTGCCAAGTATTGTTTGTCTGGCACTTGGGAAAGGTGACCGCACTTGGGAAAGGCGGACACATACCACCTTGTTTGTCGAGTGTCCTTTTGAAGAGTTCGGCATAGGTTGATATTGTCGAGTACCGACGTTTGTCAAGTGTTTTTTTTTTCTTTCACACTTAGTAAAGGTGGGCTATGCCGAGTGTTTTTCACTGGCACTCACTTTCGGGAATCTCTACCCGAACTACTAAAATTTAACTGCTCAAACACCTTCTCATTTTTTTAAAAAGTGGACCTAATGGAACTCCTGAAAGTTAATTTTCTAGAGAGCATTGTTTTTTCCAATTCTTTTACCATTTTGTCTATAACTCTGGAAAGCTTGTTTTTACTTTTTGTCTACTATAATGGGATCTCTTGTTGCCTTGAGGACACTGAATTGTCTTCACAAATGTGACCCATGGAGGATAGATGTCATCAGCAAGGTAGTACCCCATCGTGTACCCACAGCCATTGAGAACATAACTGCAAGGTGGAGCATCTTCGACAAAAAGCCCTCTGAACAGTGGTAATCTCGAAAGGGCATAAAATCCGTTGTAAGAGCCGGGGAAACCAAAGTATGAGTGCTAATCCACATATCCTCACATGGAACTGCCTCGATGATGATAGTTGGATCTTTGCAATGCCCTTTGTATAGACCTTTTCTTCCCGCAGGACAATTATTCCATGTCCAATGCATGTAATCAGTTGATCCAAGGATCTCTGACCATCCTCATTCTTCAATCAGACCCATGAGCCTCTTGGTGTCTTCATCACTGGGATCCCTCAAATACGGCGGTTTGTAGATCTCGATCACTGCTTGTGTGAATCTTCGAACCTCCTCGAGGATTGTTTCTTCCCCAATGCAGACATTGTCATCAATGGTGTCAACCGAGCACACATAGGCAAGGACTCAAAGAGGAGCGACACACTTCATCAATTGACATGAACTAATTTCTCACAATGCACTCCTTCTCAGTTTAAATCAAGGATCTTGACCTCAATTTTTTTTGCAATGGTATTGAAGAGACTCCAGTGCATCCAAATCGTCACTAGAAATACTTCTCTGGATATGTTGCATTGAAGTAATCCCTGACAAGATTATCATGGACTTCAACCCAATCACGGTTGATATCCAAGCTGCCGAACCGATAATCTAGCCTCGGACTCCTATGTTCCTTGCCAAGAATCACGACAATGTCCATCGTAGTCATCCTCATCTTCTTCTTCCTCTCCGAAGAAAAAGTTATCGAAGAACATCGTTTTTAACCTCTTCATCTACCATTGCAATATTGAATGATGAATTTGATTGCAAAAGCAATAAAGAAAATAGAAAAAAGGTTAAAAAAAGTTGTATCTAGGTGATTTGTCAAACACTTGGCGGGCAGAGGAGGTGAGAGCCACAATGGGAGGCGTTGCGGCGACGACGAGGCTGCGAGTGGACGGCGGGGCTGAGGGGATCTTCTGTTGGCGTCGAGGACCTAGATTCCCCTCGAAGACATGCTCGCACTTCATGGAAAAATCCCATCACGGCCAAACTCCAATATTCGGAATGACCCCGATTTGGATGATATTTCGGTGCTCTATGCCATCGTGCTCCTCCGGCGGATGCATTTCCGTCGACCAAGAGTTCCCCATGCATGGTGGCATCCAGAGAGCGAACCGAAGGAGGGACATGGGGTCGGCAGGGCTATAAGGTGTCGTCGGGCATGCGTGGTGGCCGGCTGAGACAACGAACACGAGAAGGTGAACGAGCCAGAGGAGCAGCAGCCGAAAATGAATCTTTTGCTAATACTTTGTTTCGGCTACTCAAATTTAAGAGCCCGTGGACATTTCTCCTCAAATGGCTAAGGAGTTGAGCCAATGAGAGATACCCTAGAACGAAAAAGCATATTTGCGTAGGAATAGGATTTTTGTTTGAGGAGTTAATCCTTTTGCAAGTTCGTCCAGAGATGTCCTCAAGGCATGTATAATGGTTGATAAAATAATTTTATTTTAAGTTTTGCATGTAATTTAGAGATGACAAAAAAATGTCTATAATGTGTCATCTTTTAGCCTTATCTTCAATAACTAGTTATTTCTAAAAATATAGTAAGACATATTGTGCTAAGAGATCATCTCTTCTCTTATTTTTAAATAAGAGAAGACAAGCTATTTCTTATGAGCTCTCTCCTTCACCTCATCATTTATCCTACATGGCACTCATAAGATATCACCATTGTACATGCCTAGGTGGCCGTTTGCCAAGTATCCGACGTAATGTAGTCGGTAAACAGGCGAGCACTGCATACAACCATTTCCCCGTAGCTCAACTAGTGTGCAGGTAACTGAGTACTCCCTTCGTTCCGAATTACTCGTCGCAGAAATGAATGTATCTAGATGTATTTTAGTTCTAGATACATCTATTTCTGAGACGAGTAATTTGGAACGGAGGGAGTAATTAAGTTTGGCAGCAAACAAAACAAGTTGGTAACACATGCGTGCGTACGTATCTACTGCTCGTTCTGTATAGAAGAATGCAGCAGATGAAGAATAATAGGCCACGCATGGCTGATGCACTCAAGAATCCTCTTCCCATGTTCAACCTAATTCAAACCGAACTCCATGGCGCCACATTTGCGTTGCATTGCCCCGCCCAACTGATCTGTGCATCGCATTCTTTCTCCCCGCCCCCCAGTAGATCAATCGATCTATGAAAACATAGTATAAATCCTTACCCAACGCATGCATGTTCTTCTAACACCAGCCGGAGCCGGAGGTCGATACGATACAGCGTCAAGAAGTAGACAGAAAGAGTGATCGATCGAGATGCCGGAGTACTGCGTGACCGGCGGGACGGGGTTCATCGCGTCGCACCTGATCCGGGCGCTGCTCGCCGCCGGGCACACGGTGCGCGCCACGGTGAGGGACCCGAGCGACGAGGCCAAGGTCGGGTTCCTGTGGGACCTGGAGGGCGCCGACGAGCGGCTGCAGCTGCTGCGCGCCGACCTGCTCGTGGAGGGCTCCTTCGACGCGGCCGTCAGCGGCGTGGACGGCGTCTTCCACGCCGCCTCCCCCGTCGTCGTCAGCTACGAGGACGGCAAGGACGCGCAGGAGAAGCTGGTGGACCCGATCGTGAACGGCGCGGGCAACGTGCTCCGCTCCTGCGCCCGGGCCGCGGTCCCGCCGCGCCGCGTGGTGTTCACCTCCTCCTGCTCCTGCGTGCGGTACCGGCACCACCACGTGCACGGCGGCGCCCCGCCGACGCTGAACGAGTCCCACTGGAGCGACGCCGACTACTGCCGGACGTACGGGCTGTGGTACGCGTACGCCAAGACGGTGGCGGAGAAGGAGGCGTGGCGTCTGGCGACGGAGCACGGGCTGGACCTGGTGGTGGTGAACCCGTCGTTCGTGATCGGGCCGGTGCTGGGCCGGGCGGCGCCCACGAGCACCGCACTGGTGGTGCTGGCGCTGCTGAAGGGCGACCTGGGCAAGTACCCGAACACGACCATCGGGTTCGTGCACGTGGACGACGTGGTGCTGGGGCACGTCCTGGCCATGGAGGACGGCAGGGCGTCCGGCAGGCTCATCTGCTCCGGCGACGTCGCGCACTGGTCCGAGGTGCTCAGGTCGCTCCGGGAGCGGTACCCGCAGTACCCCATCCCCACAGAGTAAGCTCCTAGCTCTAGCTGCAGCAACTCATGGATGCATCTCATGGTGTTGGCATATTGAATGGAACAGGTGCAGCGGCGGGAAGGGGGACGACAGGGCGCACAAGATGGACACGAGCAAGATGGAGGCGTTGGGGTTCCCTCCATTCCTCTCCATCCACCAGATGTTCGACGACTGCATCAAGAGCTTCCAGGACAAGGGTCTTCTTCTTCCTTGACATGGCATCGAGCCATCCATCGATCGGCATAGTTATATATATCGAGGAACTAACCGGAGGTGGTGGGTTCGGTCCAAAGTGTCAGCTTCTGTGCGTCATACATACATTGTCAGTACCCACAGTACAATAATACAATAGGAACCTCCAGTGTGTATCAACATTATGAACTGTTTCTTAAGGTACAGAAAAATGGAAAATTCGAATCTGAGACCGAGCTCATCTGCACCTGCGCTCACGAAAAAAAACAAAATAAATACTAGAAAAATTCAAAAAAATTCAAAAAAAATTTGGGTGGTGGACAATTTGATGCATGAGGGACGCTCCAATTTTCAAAATATTTAGACTTCTGTGCAGCTCTCAGCAAAAAAGACAAATCGGAGGTATGTAAAAATGTGTACTGTTCATATACAGTTCTGGTCTGATTTGTCTTTTTTGCTGAGAGCTGCACAGAAGTCCAAATGTTTTGAAAATTGGAACGTACCTCACGCATCAAATTGTCTATCACCCAATTTTTTTTGGAATTTTTTGAATTTTTCTGATTTTTTTACGATTTTTTTTGATCAGGTGCAGATGCACCCGGGCACCGAAACGCCGTTCTCTAGAAAAATCATCTACCATAGTGTATAAACACCAGTCATTACCGAATGATTTGGCACTACCCAACGACCTATGAAACCCTTCCCTTCAACCGGCTGATAAACGCCCGGCGTCGGTTGTCGGCAGCACTACCAAACGACCTATGAAATCCTTCCCTTAAACTGGCTGATAAATGCCCGGCGTCGGTTGTTGGCAGCATTACCAAACGGCCTATGCACTAGTAGAAAAAAGGCATATTGTCCCAGTTTGTAAGGGCCTTTTGTCCCGGTTTCTGAACCGGGATTAAATGGTCGGTACTAATGCCCTGTCCCTTTAGTCCCGGTTCAATCCAGAACCTGGACAGATGGGTCTCCACGTAGCCTGTGCGCGGAGCCCAGGCAGGAGGCCTTTGGTCCCGGTTGGTGGCACCAACCGGGACCAATAGGCATCCACGCGTCAGCATTTCTGTGGCTGGCATTTTTGTTTTTTTTAAGGGAGGGGGGGGGGGTTTGGGGGTTGTGGGGGTTAATTTAGGTGTTTCATATATTGTGTTAGCTAGCTATAATTAATAGAGAGAAGTGTCCTCTCTTATGTCCGTGCTTGGTCGACGCTACGTACTATACATACGTATAGAGAGGACTAGACGCACTAGCTAGCTAATAAGCAAACGAAGAAAACAGAAGATCGTCATGAACATATATGCATACAGAGAGAAGTGATATCGACCACCTCTCCTTCTCCGAGAGATTGGTCGAACAACAAGTTCTCGTATATCTATCCGACACTACCGACTACATATATATAATAATTATCTCTTACAAATATAATCTCCTAACATACGGATTCATGGTCCACATAGTATTCTCCGTCTTCAGCGATCACGTGGTCAAGAAAGAATGCCGCCAATTCCTCTTGAATTGCTCGCATGCGAGCTGGTGCTAGGAGTTCATCCCCCTTTCGAAACATCTAATTTGAAGAAGGGGGTGAGTACATATATATCTTTACTAGCACAAGGGCCCGTGCGTTGCAACGGGAAAAAAATACCTCAATCTTAAAAAGATGGTTCAAGTCCCCACACAGGTATACGCCCACCATTTGAACACAGCGGAGAAGCACTAATAGCATAAACCGTGAATATGAAATATTAATAAAGCTTAATTTCCCTGTTCAAGTTTAATAGTGCCAAAAAAAGTTACAAAGGCATGCATTGTTTTGTACATGGATTGATAGCTATAGAGTATCTACTGCTAGTGTGGATTTTCTAGCTTGAATTGTACCCTTCCTGCATAGAATAAGAGATTTTTACTATGCCAAATCTCATTTCATGACATTAATAACAAAATCTCAAAATTTAAAACATTATCCTACTGTATCAATTTTAAATTAAATTGATGAAATCTAACAGGCTAATATTTCTTTTAGGTAAGACCCTATATTCATTTTTTTTCTTATGAATATTCAAAATCTCATTGTTAGTTTATTTAATTTTCTAAAATGAAGTTTTATTTTTTATATGATCTTCCTTGGTCATTGTACCTGAAATATAACTATGTTTGTAGGAAATATAAAACAAAAACTTAAATGTGTAGTTTATTTTATTTTATTTAGAAATATGAGCATACATGTTTTGATTGTTTGCACCTGATTATATTTTTGGAAAGATGTTTTGATTGTTTGCACATAATATTATTTTTTGGTAACAAAAAAAGCCTCAAATGTGTAGTTAATTTTGTCATCCGCATGAGGCAATTTTTTGAGCGTCTGTGAGTTTTATACAGTTTTTTGGTGTGTGTTTGCCTCGGCTTCCATCGCAATCAGCATATGTTCATGCCGGGATCCCGCTACTTCCACCACCACGCCGTCGTGCTGCTGAATCTCCATCAACTTCTTCTCCCCCCTTGCTGGATCAAAAAGGAGGAGACGTCTCCGCTCCGTACGTGTGTTGAACACGGAGGTGCCGTCCGTTCGGCGCTAGGATCATTGGTGATTTGGATCACGACGAGTACGACTCCATCAACTCCGTTCTCTTAAACGCTTCCGCTTAGCGATCTTCAAGGGTATGAAGATGCACTCCCTCTCTCTCGTTGCTAGATGACTCCATAGATTGATCTTGGTGATGCGTAGAAAATTTTAAATTTGTGCTACGATCCCCAACATTATGCACAGCCTGTAAACCCATTTTAATTCTAGTTGACACCACAATGATATCTCTTTGGCCAGTGCTAGGCGCCATCCGGATGTAGGAAGAAAAAAAGCAGAAAAACAGGGTCCGCATTCTGATCCGTCTCCCTGTTACTGTTAATCGCTATCCACTTTACACACTTGTTGTTTCGCATTTATCCTCATGCGCCTCGTCGCTGCACCTAGCTCGCCGACACCGACGACCACTGCTATAACCCCTGTCGCAGTCGGCTCGCCGTTACCCGCCACGGGCATGGTAATTTCTTGGGACTTGGGAGTCTAGATTTTAATTATGGCGAAATAATAATCAGTTTTATGTCGGTTTTATCTTGTGAAGAGCAAGCAACGTACAGTTTGTACTAAACGTTTTGACATTCAGCATATATGTACTACAGTTTGCAACCAATCTCATTTTAATTCGGTATTTTATTTGGTGATTTAAACATTTAGTACCCGTGCATAAAACCTGAGCTTTTGTAGGAAAAGAAGGCTAGGGTAGTATGGGCCTGCTAATTCCCATCAACCAGACGTGCAGCAAGCTTTGAACCACGCGGCACATGAATCGGACGATTGCGTGTGGTATCGTGACGCGGACGGGCCTCGGCGCCCTTGAGATTGACATTTCTTTGACCAACTCTTTCAATGTTGCTTTTTGCCGTCAACTTATAAACATATTTAAACTGATGAGATTGAGTACAAGAAGACGATGTGGGACTATCTATTAACCAGAACCTTCTCCCTTTTCACAAGTTTAACAAACACCGGCAGAAATCGTAGCGGACAGAGCAAAACATAGTCGGGCCGAATCCTGCAGAACTGGGCTACACAGGGAGCATGCGAGGAATAGCAAAACGTGCACCGGGTGAGGATTAGCGGGCAGTGCTCACATTGGGCCAAAAGGCTGTGGATCTGGGCGTTCACGCGGACGGAGCTAGGCCAGGGCGCCTGGGGCAGGCCCATGCGCACGAAGCATGGGGCGGCTGGCGAGCGAGTGCCTCGCTCGTTCCCGAGCGAAACGACACTAGGCGGCAGCGACGTGGTTCCCAAATTAGTACCACCTCGCGTATATGATTTAAATTAAACTGAAAGCGTAAATTCATACGAAGAAAGCGTATTGTGACGGTGAACCCGGAAACCCAATCCGTGCTTTATTATTAGGGAGAGATTACCTACTAATAAAGCGGCTATCGTTTCTGGTGTACGTCGTCAGCAATTTTGCGAAAAAATCACTCTATTTCTTTCAAATAAACCCGCAGTCCCTGTTTTAAGTGGTTATGTGAGGAAACGTTTCGTTGTTGCAAATAGGGCCCTGTATTTTGGAGTATTGAACCCGCGATCCATGCTGCAGGGGGCCGCCATGACGGGGATGCGGCGCTGCGGTCGGGCGCCGCATCAGGCGGCGACAGCTAGGCGAGAGGAGTGCGCTGAGATGAAGGAGGAGAAAAGTGAAGAGTCAGCGGGCTGGGTCAACCCATCGGTGGAGATGATTTTGGATAAGCACACCAAATAAGCAGAAGTAAGAGGTGGGAGATTTTGTAGTCGATCCAGAACCAGCAAGGCCGCCTCCTTCCCCCAACAAGAACACCAAAGATCCCCTCCGAGCTCCCG